TCCTAAGTGTTTAAGTAATGTGGCAGTCTGTGGTTATTGATTCTCTCTGAATTTATTACAAGAAAGCTGTATTCACTCTCTCCCCTTGGGAATGCCCCTCCTGAACTGCATGCTTGCTAGTGACAGCTTAGACCCCTGATACATAACCAAAGACCTTGCCTAATATCCTTGCAACTGCTCAGGGAATTTTTATTAAGTAAAAGCATCATTAAAGTCGACAGAATGATGAAGTTTAATGAGCATCTTTCTCACTTGATATTGTTAGTTTTGCTGCAGCAGCCATAGTGCTCTCATTTGTTACTTCCAGTGGGGCAGATAGAAAATGCAGGGAGAATTCATTTGTGTTTATATTTGCATACAAAGAAACATTTATGTTCATGAGAGATGTTCGCTTTGAAAAATGTATACAAGGAAAGAAAGCAACTGGAAATATCTCTTTGAGGGTTTTCTGCATTTTCTGTCTTGCATTTCATCTCGCCTTTCACATAATGAGAAGGCTGCATGCAATGCTGTAGCTGCTAAGTCTGCAAAGGGTCAGGCGGTTTGTGAGCTGTGATTATGATAACTAGCTCCTGACTTGCTGCAGACTGCAAGTATCTCAAGTATTTATTTGCAGTCTGGATTTTACTCCTCAGCCCAGACTTTGGGCTGAGAGGTGTGCGTAGTGTTCTGCCTGGAGCTATACCACGAACCAGTCATGTTCCAAATATCAGGCAGTGAAGGCACCTGCCGTATATTATCAGCACTTACCTCACAAATCTGCCTTAAAACAGTAAGAACAATTAATCTTAGTATTGCTGTCCCTGTTTATCGAGGCTATCTGCCCTTGCCGAGGGTCTTGCCATGCAAGCAGCTATGTCGAGGTTCCACCATGCAGTAAATTGCCACCCACCAGCTGAGCAGCGAGGCTGTCTGCGGGCATGTTTTAAGCTGACCCACGGTGCTGAGGACAGCGTGCGAGTGCCTCAGCCCAACGTGTTTGACTTCACGGTGATGGCAGAGCAGGAGCATGCACCCAGCCACTACAGCTTGGCTGACAGACGGTGACTTACAAGCTGTGCTTTCCACGGCTGCATCCTTCCAGCAGGTATCGAAGTCATTAAGGACTGTTTGTGTGAGCTCCACGTCTGTTATAGCCAAAGGGTTTTAGGTTCTTGTGCAATTTGGGTAGTTGCTTCTCCATGTGGATCAGTTCAATTAGGGCTGGTTGGTTTTGTTGTTGTTTTTCTGTTGTATTTTTGTTTTCCTCGGGAGCTATAAAAGTAGTGTCTGTCATTGTACCAGAAGTTCATTGAAAATCCGGAATTCTCTTTTCCCTCGTGTAACAGAAGGCAAATTCTGTCCCAGAGGCATTATCACAGTCATTATTGTATTTAAATGTTGTTGTGACACCATATGTCTCCTTGTATTTGATGTGTGCAAACACAAGAGAGAGAGTCCCTGTCTGTGAAGGCTTATATAATCTAAATACGTCTGATCCTTGCTCTTTGCATAGCAGACTACTATGATAGATTGTAATGCATTTATCTTCAGCCGAGACAGCAATGTGCAGCTGAAACTTACTTGAAATTTTGCCAGAGAAACCTAAGTAGATTTGTTTGATTGGTTTATTTCAAACCCAATAATTACTCTTCTGATTAAGTTTTGGTGCCCATGCCCACAAAGTGGTTGGACATGAGAATAAGGCAAAAGAATATAAAAGTGCTGCAGGTTCCTGCAGCTCACACAGATCTACTACTACAAACATAGTATTTGCACGGTGATAGGGAGGGAAGTGCCAAAGCACCAGCAGCACTGAATATTGTAAAGGAGCAAATATTAAAGAAAAACTGCTATCAGAACTACTTACAGGTATATTGGGATTTTTACCACTTAACACATGAAGTGGCTGCTGGACCTCATTCCCCAGTCAAAAGATATTGCCCAAGTAGACTTGCCAGCACTCCACAGTTGATTCAAAAGTGCCAATATTAAGTTCTACCACTTCAAAAGATGCATGTAGTCAGTAGAAGTCCCACCACACCCTCCTTTTTCAGAAGTAGTTCACTAAATCAGAGCTCTGCCAGTCCACAAGCTTTAAAATTTGCACTGAGAAAGCAGAAAATGAGAGACAGAGTGAATGCCAAAAGCATTGACTTGAGTGGGAAATTCATATGACGTTTCCAAAGCAAAAAAGTGGAGCCTTAACCAAAAAAGGGGCATATAACACAGTGAAAAACACACTGAAGCCATTCTAGTCCTCTCTGGGTTGGCACTAACAGGAAGCTGTGGGCAGCAGTATGCTGAAGACATTGCAATGTTTTTGTGTGTGCACGCTCAAATAAAATGGATGAGTCGATTCTCTGTTAATTCAGTGCTTAAAGTCCCAAGTGGGGACTTTTATTTATAGGAAAAAACTCACATTCCACTCCAATGTAATAAGGTTTAGTGGGTAACATTGGTGGTAGGGAGATGCTTGGACCAGATGATCTTAGAGGTCTTTTCCAACCTTAATGATTCTGTGATCATTTTTCCAGAGCGCAAAAAAAACAACTTGAATGTTAATTAATTATTTGATTAACTCTTGGTGTTCACACAGTAGAAGCATCTATTTCCACTTTTCTATTGCTGGCTTCTCAGAGTTAGGAAATTATTGCTGACAGTGGCTCAAATGCTGTGCCACTTATCATTGAGAAAAAGATGCTTCTTGTCCCCTGACTCTTTCTACCTTGGATCGGTTTTTGATGAGACAGCCTCCTTGAATGACAGCGAAAATATTTCCGTGCTTTCCAACAATGATAGTATTTCCTCATACCAAAACATCCCCTTCCATATCTTCCCTCTCTCATCTCACTTAATGCCTTCCAAAATGGGACAGGTATTTAGGATGGACATTTGATTAGTACATGTGCTGTGCTGGGATAAAATACAGCCTCTGCTGTTGGGGCTGTATATCTTATGAAAATAGGTGTATTGGAACGAACAGTCAGCACGCAGTTGTCACAGGCATTCAGGGCTCTCTCTGCATCTGTCAGGAAATTTCTCGTTGACAGTAGGTGATGGCACACATTACATTTTGGTAAGGTGAAACCGTGGCTTAGTTTACAGCTGCATTATCTTTGCGTGGGGCTGTTCTGGGTAGAGTACACCTTGACAGCAGCCTGTTTAGCGGCATGATGTAAGCTGCTGAGGTGAAAACAAGTGCTACTTCTCCTCCGTGCTCTAGGAGAAGCTCTAATCCCATTCTGCAATCCAGCAAACCCAGGGCTGAAGTATCCTCCAGGTACTGTGAAATACTAAAGCCGAGGGCAGGTGGTAGGTTTAACCTCCCAGCTTCAGTATGCCTTAGCTGAAATCTCTCTGCACCTGCCATAAATAGCCCCTCCAGAGCCGTGCTGCTGTATACACGGTGACTCCAGGTACCTCTGTTTGGATCCTTGTTCAATGTCTCTTGCGTACAGTTGACCAAGACCTATGCCAGGTCATGTCTGAGAAGCAAGGCCAATCCCCTGCCGCTGAGATGAGTTTCAGCCTGCAGTGCTGAAGAGGTGACTTTATGTAAAGAGTCACTTTATCTCCGAGACGCCCACTCGGGCCGGTAGCCATGGCAGAGCTGTGTATCAGGTCATGCTCTCTGGACAAGCAGGAACAAACATGAGAAACTAACTCAGTCCTGACGTGACTAAGCAAAAGCAGTGAAAGGATCTGTAGCTGGTCCTTGTTTGCCACAAGGGCTGGACAGATGTGCGAGCTCTACACATGGACGTCAGTGACAGTGTGCGATGAACCAGGGCAGCTCGCTTCCTGAGGGGAGCTAGGGCCTCCGGGGTGCCGCAGACACCCGGAAAGGCAGGGCCCAGCTTCTGTGGCGACAGCGCTGACTGACTGCGCTCCTGCACGTCCAAAGGCAGTTCTGGGAAGAGTTGCTTGGCCCAAAGCCCTTAGGCCTGTTGTGTTTCTTGAGAAATGTCACCAGAAGGTGGAGGGGCAGTGACACAGGGAGGGGCAGTGACACAGGGAGGGGCAGTGACACAGCGCTGTTACCTTTTCAGTAGCAGAATTCCTGTCAGGTTTTAGACATCCATCTTCAACCCTACTGGCAATACTGTGGGATCAGAGCGGACGCCCACCAGCATGAAGCTGAAGCATTAGCAGGGGGACACCTTTCAGAGGGGGTTCAGTATTTGTGTCAACATCGCTGGTGTTTATACAGCTGAATGAGCAGAAACAAAGCTCAGCTCTGTTCCCTTTAGATACACTGACACCCCTGCAAAGTACATCTTCAAAAAGCACTCTATGTCAATATGGGAAGTTAAGTTTGAGCTGTGTTTATTTTTGGTACATTTTTAATTTAGTTTAATCAGGATTACTCATAAATTATCTATTAATTACTATGTGATATTTAGCAAGATCCTCTCAGCCATGTAGTCTGTTTAGTGTTGCTGTGAATGCTAGCTGTCTTAATTGTAGGATACTTTGTCAACATTTAATCAGTGGTACTTACTAATGTGGCAGTGATGTGTTGGTAGCTGTCCCAGTACTATCAATCATCTGTGAGCAGCAAAGAAGGCTGTGACACCATTGCTCTCTGTCACATTATCAAGCCCTTGGGTTTTCTAGTTAGGGATGATGCTCACTTTGCTCTAAGTGGGCACTCTATCTCTCCAGCTCAACCCAATTTTTGTCATTGTCGACTCAAATACGCATCCTCACAGCCCTCTGAGCCTTGATTCCCTAACTGCAGAGTAAAGGTCGCTAGTTTCTGAAGGCAAAACTGATTGCTCCTTCACTGCTCCAAAGGCCTGCTCTTCACGGTGTTACTCCAAGTCACAAAAAATCAGTAATGTGGACTGCAACATGACTTTTAATAGAAAAATGAGTGTGTTGAGACAAAATAAATGTAATGACCTTCCTTTTTTTTTTTATATCTAGTAACCAGCTGTGTTGTTTAATATGCTGCAGATTAAAAGCCTATATTTAATGGTTATATCACAAATATTCTTTGTCTTATTTCCTTACAGTCTTTATGGCAGACACATGCAGGCAAACCCTGAACCTCCAAAGAAGAACAATGACAAGTCGAAGAAGATCAGTCGTAAGCCTCTGGCAGCCAAGAACAAATAAGTCCCCAGCTTGTGCCTTTGTTTTTATATCTTTTATATCTCTTTTGCATGTGCCTATAGTATTCCAACACATTTCCTATAACTTATATCTTAAGGAAGCAGAGACTAGAGTTAAAGGCCATTTACTATGTGTGCTGCTTTAGAAGATTCTGCTTAAGGAATACAAAATTACACACTCTCCTAATTATGGTCACATTTATGTAGCCATTTAATATATCACTGTCAAACACATTTTAGCTTTTCTATTTATATGTACATTAATGTCCTCTGTTCACATGTATCACACCCTATTAATACCAGGTTTTTTGCACTTACACAATAATAAATTTCATATATTATTACATATGATTTTAATAAAAGCCTCTATTTGTCTTGTGTTTTTATTTCTGTGGTAGGACTTCTGAATAGTGATATTCTTGAGGAACGTAAGTGTCCAGTTTCCTGCAATGTGTTAATTTCTTTTGTAGGAATGTGATAGCATTTTGTCTGATACAAGTTGGTTAAAATGTAAAGCATTCTGCTCAATAGTGAAAAATTTTAATCAGTTTCTGTTTCTCTTTTGCATTGCTGTGTCCTGCTTTTTTGCCTTGAAGGTTATTTTGAAATCAGGGAGTAGGGGAGGGGAGAGAGGAAAGAAAAAATATATATATATCTGTGCAAAGAGCTGCCAATTGCCAGCCTCAATTTGGGGAAAGAGAGCTTTCTCATTTGAAGAAAATGGTATTTCTGCCAATTTTTAAAGTGATTTTTTTTTAAGCAGAAAACCCAAATAATGTATTTAATCTCTGCCATGAAAATGCTTGTATTGAAGAGGTGTTCCAAATGGCTGTTGAAAATGCCACAGGTGCTATATTTATCTGTACAAAGCCCGCACCACAACCAAGCTCAGAAGCCGCAGGTTGTGAAGTGATTAAACAACAAATTGTTTAACATCTGAAGTAGCTTCAAGTCTTATCAGTGTGAGGAAAAAACAATAATACAGGCAGTGATTTCCAAACAGTTTTAGTCTTGCAAGAGCAAAAGCTAACCAGGAAACTCAAGGAGCAAGAACAGGTATTTATAACAAGATAGGCCGAGTCAGGACCTTCCTGCTCCTGATTTCCACTTTCATGGATTTCATACCCGAGCAACACAACCTATTGCTGAGTTTCTGGTGCTGTCCAGTCAGCAAGCCAGAAAATATGCCCAGACTACAGTTGTATTAAATAAAAGATGAAAAGGTATTAAATATCTCGTGATAGAAATGACACATTCTATAAAAGCCATCTTGTATCTAAAGACTCTCATCACCAGCAGCCTCTTGATCGTGTTTAGGATTACCCCAGCGTCTAAGTAATAAATGGTTGACTTAGTTTGGGAATAAATGTATTGACATATATTTTGCAACAGATTTTTTGAATTGGCAAGCAGGGATAGGAAGTTGGCTTCAAGCTTTAGACACATTTTGAGTGGTCTTTGGTACTTCAGAATAATGAGGCAGTCTTGATAGGCAGATGGAAAGCAGTGAAAATGATAGACTTGTCAGGAACAGTCAATTTTATCTATTGCAAGCTCTGCAGAGGATTTTCCAAACCTCATAAGTGATCTGTCTGGGGGAACGGCTCCAAGTGAAACAGGCCCGCTGAGGTGCTGGGCTGAGGGCACATTACCAATCCGCAACCAGAACGGGCCAGCTGCTAGAACGCACACAATTCAATCTAGACGTTGGCATTAAAACATGAGGGTCTCTAATGACAATCACACTCGCGCTACAAAAAGCCTTGAAGAAATGTCAGTGAAATGTCAGAAGATCCCAAAACTCCTATTGCAAATTCCTTTTGGAACAAAATAAATAGCAAAGGTACGCCTATTGGGAAGGGATGGAGTGGCTCTAGACCCTTCCTCCAGCATCCTTTCCTTACACTGTGCCCTTGGGGGTGGCAGTGGCCACAGGGCTGGCCTGGCAGCTGTCTGCAGCCATGGCTGGATCCCTGCTTTCAGGCTGGAAGAAGTTGTACGTGTACTCACTTCATGGCCCTGAGCACGCCACCCATGCTAGGGCAGAAGGACCGTGGCCAAGGGCAGGGCTTGGTGCAGGTGCAGCTGAGCCCCGAGTGACAGCAGGACCACCTCACCCAGGGCTGGTGCTGTGCTGGCATCCCCCTGCGTCTGCCTGGGTGCTGCCTTCTGGCTCCTTTGGTTGGAATGGGAATGGGGCTGGAATTAGCCATGGCCATGCCCAGGCTGCCTCCAGCACCTCCTCGGGGGTTAAAGGGAGGAGCTGCTAAGTGGCTACAAGGGCTTCAAAGCATGGAGTCGGGGCTCTGACATGAAAATAAAAGCCTTGGGAAGGCCTGGCAGTGTTCTTTGTGGGAAGCTGTAACGCGGCTTTAAATAAGCTGCTGATTTTGAAGGATTAGTCAGACGTCCATTAGCTGCTGTTGCAAATTTTGAAAACGTGGAAAGGATCGTGCAAAGTCTCCTCTGTGGTATTTCTGAAGTATCGATTGGAGCGTTCCTGGGTTTTCACAAGAAAAAAAAAAAATAGCAAAGCACCCAACCTTCCCACTTCTTCCCCCATGAAGGATGAAGAAATGCAGTTTTGACAAGCAAAAGCAGGAATGAAGGGTCTGGGGAAGAGTAAGTGAAAGGCATAGAGATGAGAAGGATAAAAGAAATCCTAAAGGGAGACGTATTATAGTGAAGATGGTGGCAGATGGGGAAAAGAGAAGTTTCTTGAAAAGAAAGATGAAAAAATAAGATAATGATCTGAGCAGACGACGTAAGACTAAAATGTATAAAGCTTTACAAACAGAAAACAAAATGGGGGGGGGAAATAGTGCTGCTCTTCAGAGGTTCAGGGCAGAATAAAAGAAGTGGGAAAGAAAAGAAACTCATCTGGGATGTGCCATGCCAATGTTTCAGTGGTTTTAAAAGGTGCCAGCTTCTCAGAGCAAGCTACACAACAGTTTTAATGCAAGCCTGATGGTGTTATGTATCTGTTCTCTGGAGTCCTTGCGCTTTTAATATTTAAAACCAACATGTTTCATTTTACTGGGTCACACAGTTCCCTGCTATGCTCTAAGGAAAGGCAGTGCTGTGTCCTACCACGCTGAACCAGTTAACGAGCACTGATGGGCCCTGTGGTGGTCACCACGGTCACTTCTCCAGCAGATCCATCAAACCAAGGCTCCTTCCAGCGAGTGCTACCCGAGGGGACAGGCTGGGTTGTGTCACCTGGGGCACGGAGCTCCATAAGGGCAGAGCTTTGCTCCTCTGGTCAGTGTTATGGCAGTATTATATTGACGATACCTGGCTTATGGTCCTTGGAGAGAACTTTTTTTGCCATCCAGTCACTCGTTCAGGTTGCCTCTTCGGGCCAACCTCTCTTAGAGCCAAGAACATGCCACTTCAAGGAGAGAAAGTAATGCCTATTAGAAGGAGATTTGCTTCTCGTGGCACATGGGAGCTCTTTGAAAACAGCAGTGCTGGTAATTCTCTGCTTAGATTTTGCATGTGGCGAACTGGAAAGAGTTTGGTGATTTTTTTTTTTTTTTTTTTTGCATACAGTGTGCCCTAACAAACAATTTTTTTTAGTGTACTACTGAGAGACTGACATGCTGTGTTAGTGCAAAGAGTGGTCCAGGGGGTGAATCCTTGCTAATGATGGAGCAGAATGAAGCCAGAAACCCTGATGTGCAGCCACCATCCACAGCATTCTGGCACCTGCAGTGTCTGTTAACCTCACGCAGCCCTCCTGATGGACAGAAAGAGTTAAATATATTTATATATTTATCTATATATATACATCTATGAGAATTTAGACACCACCATTGCTTGTGTTTTTTATTTAAAATGGAGACAGGCAATGATACTTCGTGATCCTGACAATTCACCTTTTTCTGACTGTTCGTCTGGAAGTACGTTTCCCTTGGAGTCACTGGAATGCAAGCGACTTTATTTTGTTTTCAGCCAGGTCTTTTCCTGTTAAGGCAATGACACTGTAGCATCTGCTCATCAGTCAGCTGCCAGCCTCACAGCTGGTAGATCCCACCGGCACCGGGAGCAGCTTCACATGAAATTGCAGCTTGTCTGGAGACACAGCCCCAGCCGGGACTGCTGGGCTGTCCAACCTTCGGGTAGGCAAGGCAGGGAGGTGCTGGGCTCCTGGGGGAATATCAGAGACAGGACCCTTCCCTTGCTCTTCCAGACACCTCCTGGGCAAGGTGAGGAGCTCTCCCAACCCCTGTGGTGCCGGTGTGTGGTGGGAGGACACATCCGTGCCCTTCGTGCTGGTGCTGAGCAGCAGGAGCCACGGCGAGGGGTAATTCTCCCCCTTCGGAGCGGGTGGGAACTGTTAAGATCCTCATGACAACCAGGAGGAGTGAGATTGTCATCGGCTACATTAGTTGTTAATTTTGTAAATATTAACAATTTCGAGGATTATGGCACAGGATGTGAGCTGTCAGCTAGTTCTGTTTTCCTCCTACTCCTTCTCTCAGTGACACATCCCTTACACGCCGGGATCCGTGCCATGTGTTTGTTGCCTTTCGCTGACACCGGGGCTGGCAGATGTGCTGGGAAGGAGCCCTTATAACCTCCCTGAAGTCAGATTTTCTTCCCCTGCTGAGTACTTTGTTTCCCCTGCTCTAAGAAGCAACCATTTGTAGGTCCCTGGGGCTGGTTGCTGGCTGAGGCCACCCATGAAGCCGCCACTGCCACCCCTCCCAGCTCACCTCCCCGTCCCCCTGCATCAGGAGCTGAATTAGCACTCCAAGGAGTGGTTTCCCTATTGTGAAAAAGCCCTTAGAGATGATATTTTTACACTGTATCTCAAGAGCAAATTTTTTTTTTCCATATTTTTAGGCTGAGGAGCCGCAGTGTCACCCCTGCGGCTTAATCGCTGTGCTTGGAGCCAGCTTTAGCAAACTCAAGGTGTGCGGGGTACAAAGCACCAGGCACGGCCCCTTCCCAGCCCGGCCACACGTTTCAGTAATGGCTTTAATGAGGTTTTAACGGAGTCCTACAGGCCCCTGGAAGGAAAGCTCCTGCTTGTCCTGGTTGGCTGGTCACTGCTTCACGGGTGTGGAGGTGGCAGCTGGTGGCCCTGGTGGAACAGCGGGGAGCCATTCCCAGGGCACTGCCGGCATCGGGCCCTGAGGAGCAGGAACATCTCCTGCCTGGTAATTGCCCAGTGACCCTCATGTGCCAGCAAGCATGAGTAGTCCTAGGGGTAATTAAATGAAAAAGCAAATGTGTGGCACTCCCTCCATCAACACTTCCCCACTGCTGCACAGTGGTGGCTCCATCTGAGCGAGGGAAACGGCCCCCGCAGAGGACTTGTTCCACCTGATGGCCAGGTGCTGACTTTTTGGAGACCACA